ATGCACCTGCAGACGCATCTAGTTAAAAGTCCCTTTTCCAACTAGTAATCTAGATGGCAACTAGTCGTGTATCGCCCGATTACAGACGAAATGTATCTAGATTTTTCCCGTAGGTGATATTTACTTGGGGCCAGTCGATTCTAAGTTTCCAACTGTAAGAGCCGAAGAGTGATTAGAGCCAATCACTAGAATAAGACATACTATATATAGATCATACACATGATCCTGGTAATTGGCTCGCAAAAATCAATTTAACATCGACTGGGCTTTCCGCACATCAGGAAAATCAACTAAGACAATTGCTACATCGATATTCAGACATTTTCTCTTCAAAACCTGGCCGTACCAACGTAGTAAAACATCATATCGATGTTGGTGATTCTAGACCGATCAAACAAGGTCCTTACAGATTACTAAACCCTGAAAGAAAGGCAGAATGGATGAAATGTTGAACAATTCTAAGTGTTCTAGTTGCAGTGTGCAACTCCGTTTTGCAGCATGAGCAATCATTCTACTCCTTCCTATTCTATTTTCACATTACTTTATCTTGATCGATTCAAACAAATATTTATATCAACAAAACGTATGAGAAACACACTTTTCTAGTAAAACTTCTTTACAACAATAGAAAAAGGAAAGTGATATATATGCAAGGCAATAGTATAGTTGTATGTACAAAAATGAGATGACAAGTATAATAAGAATGATCTGTACTGTTGTCATTCATATTCATTCAGAGAAAAAAGGAGAAAATTTAGATTTCATTCCATATCTTTCTGCAGCGAACTCTGAACAAATATTAACTTATAGTTTATGCATAAAATTGCGCTGAAATCACGACCTTTAACATATGTAATTACATCATCGAGTCTCGTGTCTGGTTTTATTATTCTTAAAAGGATATCAGGTATTTCAACCACGGTAAGCACACTTCTTGTGCCAATATTGTAGATCATTTTTGGTTTACCTTTCAATAGAATTAATTCAATTGCTTTCATGGTATCATCAACATAAATACAATTTTTTGCTAGTTTACCATCACCATGTATGATTATCATTTCTCCACGTAATATTGCCGTAACAAATATTGGTATTACTTTTTCGATGTACTGGTATGGTCCGTAAACATTAGTAATTCTTGTAATGCAATAGGGCAGTTTGAAACTTTCGCCATAAGATTTGACCAAAAACTCGGTAGCTGCTTTTGTTACTGCGTAAGGTTTGTCGGGTTTAACACTAATCTTTCGTGACAATCACCTATAATAAGTTATTCAAAGGTTCTGCCAAGGGCAGCGTTGGAATTTATTTTTTTCATGAACAAATTGCGCTCAATATTATCCCAGTATAATGTTGCAAAATTCTGCTTAGAGATGAGTTATAGCTTTTTACCTTTGTTTTGGACTTTGCATCGGTAAAATTCATACCTTTTCACTATTGAAATAATATGCAGACTCGCAAAATTTGTCCTTTTTCACAATATATCTTTCTCTCTTTTGTTACATGGGGACAGGAAAATGAGTGAAGTCTTAGTCATATTCATACGGAACATTGTTCGTGCTGAACTTATCAACCTGAGATTCTTCTACTAGTGAATACAAATTTATGCAGTTTTCCGTATACACGACTTGCTTCAAGGATATTGTGCGTGCCCAAAACATTTGACTCTGTAAACGTTATACTGTTCCCGAACGATGCATCAACATGAGTTTGAACTAGAAAATGTACAAAAACCAACTATAAGTACGGTAAATTCCCCTTCTGCTTACCCGCAAAATGGGCGACATGCGTTATATTATATTGAATCATCAAATACAGCATTAAATCCTTATTGTTAATATCAGCTACGACTAGTTTGTAGTATGGTGAATTAGCGATTTGCACAGGCGTCTAAACGATCAACATTAATTATATTATCGGCTGGACGATTTTTCAGCCAATAATTAATAAAATTACTGCCGATAAAACTACAACCTCCGGTTACTAATAGATTTCTCGCATCGGATGGCTCGCAAGTAACATGTTTTAACGCTCTCTGAGTGCATATTTTTTCGACACTTGTAGACAACTCTGGCAATTCAGGTGGCACGTTATACATTTTTCGTGTTTCAAAAGATATAATTTTAAGCCATTGTTCTAATTTATCTGTTGATAAAACATTGTTGGAACGTTTTGCCGCTAGTCGTTGATTTTGTTCTAATAGTGGCTCTAGAATGTACTCATGATGTGTACCGGTTTTCTCGGCGTGGATTTTTAGGATCGATCCATCCTCTGTTGTATGCATTTACACATCCACCCGTTTTTCCTTCGTGACTAATAGAATAGGTAATATGTCGGATATAACGGTCATGCTATTAGGCACTGATGTGATTTTTTATAGCCAAGGATTTTAGTTATTAAATCTCTCGAACTGGGCTCATCATAAATCGGCATACGAATACGTGCACTTCAATTAAAGAAGACAACAATTCCTAGGTCAATAACCAAGCTACGCTTTCTTCATGTCTGCGTCTGGAGATATCATTTAAAGACTATTGGGTACCGACGTAAGAAAACATTCACTGAGTTTATGGAACAAATGTAGTATAAAGCTTTGTTTTTCGGGACACCGTTAGTGATGGATTTATAGCCCTTAAGCTGATTTACTATAAGCTTTTCTTCAATATTTCAAAAAGTTTAAGGCCCACGAAAAAGTTCTGTGATGGAGAAGTTGCAGGAAAACTATTACAAAAGTTTTTGACAAACTGTTGTTTTTAACATTGTGGCGCACTTCCAAATCAAAAGTCAAGCTCAAACAGACATGGAAATAGACCTAGAGACATGTTCTAGTCTTGAAATCCACTAGATAAAAATTCGAGAAGCTTACTTAATGACATGAAGATATGGAGTTAATAATCGATCTGTTGTGCTTTTAATAACTGCATATGATGACCCGAAAAAGTTCGGTTCATCATCCTCAGTGAACGGGTGGGATAGATTATTCGTATATACTTCCCAATCCGATATAAAGTGTTGGGATCGGTCGAGACAATTTTCCATTTTCCGACGTTATCTGAGAGATAAACACTGAAGCCATTAGATTATGAGGCAAATTTTCTCTCCATTTGTCAGGCTCTTCAAGATAGTCAATTGTGGGTATATCAATACCATGAGTTCTTCCAATTGCACATATCACATGATGATGTCTTCTTCAACATCTTTCAAGGTTAAAACACTTTTACCATTGACCACGCTTTGACTGGCATTATGCAGTATTTCACAACATTGGCTGCCAATCGATCCCGACGAGCCATAGATTAACCAAAGCATGTGTATCTATATAGAAGGTATTTATAAAAGGAATGTGAAAAAAGTAACTGCGCTTCGCGTAAGCCGTAATACTAACTAGAATTCTTTCGACATCGAGTCAATCGAGTTTGATTTCTCAACGTGCTCCGCCTTTGCCGTAAAACAACGTCTCCCACTTCGGCTGACTGCATCTAGGAAACTACCTTCAGTGGCTTCCAGAATCATCCACTCAGATCTGTATTGTTACTTTTCTGTGCTCTCATTTGAAAAGAAAACAAGCTATTAACCTATAGTTGCTTGTAAAGCATCGCCTCTGGTATATTTGTAGTAACTTTCATGCTCAAATTATTTCGTTTGATGTTTTTACAGAAGAAAACAACGAATAAGAGGTTTTTCGACGTTACAAAATCATCCACAAATAAAAAGGGTTTTCTTCCCATTTGTGCTTCTTTACATATTTCTTCTTTCTCTGAAAAAGCTATTTGGTGTTAGTGGATCCTATGTGACCGTTAAGACTCTTTCTTAGTTATTTTTTTCACATGATACTTTGCTTGTAAACAAATGGCACAGAAGAACCGTGAATATTCCAATGGTCTTCGAGAGGCTGATTAAAAACTGCATCAGACATGACTATCCGACGAGCATCAGTGCAATACATCATTAGAAACTATCAAACAAAAAATGTATTTCTAATTTAAGTGATCGAGATCTAAACCGGAAAACAATAGTTCGCGTTCATCGCATAATCTATGTGAAAAATGAAAAAAAATGGTGCTTCGCGACTTTTTCTTCGGGCTTTGACTTTGGACCGAAAATATTCCTCAAGAATTCTTTCTGACACAAAATATTGCTTTGTTGACGAAACAAATGCCACCTAAAAAACGCTGGATTTTTCGTATGTTTCTAAACTGATGATAAAATACATACACTTACAAGTTTAAAAGTCCGGTTCGGATAGTACATGAAAAATTGCATCGATCTGCGAAGTTAATATATTGACACCAGACTATCGTATGGTATGATGGAAAATAGTCAACTGGAACGTTCATCACTAATACTTTCGTCACTGATTAAGACTTTGTCTGACTTTTGTCAACTGACCAACGTCTGTCTGACTTTCATCAGATGACGAAAGGGTGGCTGTACTTTCGACAATTGATGAAAGTTCACTGCAGAAATACACCGTTCTCAACTTCATTAAACATCAGTTCAGGTACTGTTCACTTATTACGCGATTGATCCTGATCCAGCATATGACCTTTTTATTGCATTAAAGTTGGGTTCTGATTGAGAAAATTGAGAATTACGGGCAGAATTCCGAGTTTTTTGCCTCCGACTTAGGAATAATGAATATTCTCAGCAACGAAACAAAATCGTAAAAAAGTCCTTCATATTTTTAAAGCTGGAGTGTTGGCCGATTTGATGGCGTGTGAATTATTGGTATAGCCCTTCACCCAAAAAACCAGATAGGTTTTCAAAATGAGTCATACCCAGTTGACAGCTGTTGGTTCGGACGTTCACGGCGGACGAGTGTTTACCTCTGAAACGAACTGAAAACCTTTTCCTAAATCAGTTTTCAATGCTGATCCAGAAAAATATAGCTCGAACCTTCCATCTTGCAATATAACCTCAAAAAGTGAATTTCATCGTAGAGGACGGTTTTTTGTATTTTTTGAGGTCCTATCAATAATTTGAGTTTTTCTCCATGAAGAAATGGTTTTGGGAGGCTCGGAAGGTGATATTCGTGATCAGCTGGACGCAGCGAATCACAATATATGTAAAAACACGAAAAATAAAAACCACTAAAATTTTGCTTTGCGTGCATCTTATATGGCAAGGGTTCCTTTAATTCCTGACCAACAGTTTATTTTTTGTTGTTATTGTTTTTGGTTTTCCAAATTGATCACGCCCAGAAACGACAGTGCATGAATCATTGCTGCTAATGTTTTGTTTTTTTATTTGAATAATCGATGAAGACGTTTGATTTATTGCGTTTTCTTCGCTGCTGTTCTTGCTTACGCCGTTGGTTTTCCAGCGGTTTTGGCGGTTACTGTTTATTCTTAAAAAACATTGACTGGATAAAACATTTTTTTGTTTGTTGCTGGTTACAACAACATGCACATATCTATACATGAAATGTGATTCTTCAGCTTTTCAACTATGAATAAATCGCCACATATTTGGATGCTGAATCACAACTCGAGAACATTGTGTTAGACTCAAATACCTCAATTATTTGTTCTGAAAAGCGTAGCACCGGCACACCAGAGTTCAGGAGACACTTCGATCATCCATTGGTTTGCAATAACTGACGAACGACTGTGTTGCGGCTGTTGCTTCTTAACAATTTAAACCCATCTGTGATTTTTGATTTTACCCGTAATTGCAGACCCATAAATTTTCTTAAATACAGTTTAATATTTGGATCAGCATCATACAGTTTTGCCAACCCGAGACGTTGTATGTTTCGATAGCAAGCTGTATTAAAATGAAATCAGCAGCCACGTCGTTTTAACTGAGGCAGCTACAAAAAAGAGAACAACCCCCACCCGCTGGGCATCTTTAAACTATTTGCGGGAATAAGCGTTACGGAATTGTTAACTTACAACAAGAATCCTCTTCAAAATCAGAAGAAACCGTATTCAGCTCGAATGTTTCATTTCGAGATGCAGCAATATCGATTAAACAATTCAGCATATCTTCATAGGTTTTCCGTTTTTCTGTTGCTCGTCAATACAAAAACGACAGGAATAACTGAAATAACACAACTGAAGACGTAGAGATGGATTACTTCAGAAATTCAGCCGCTCACTTTCATCATCATTAGCAACAACTGGTACTGCATAAACTTGCTGAAACAAGGATGGACAAGTTTTGAACGTTTCGTCACAAAATAAATAATTTGAAGCAAACGATAATTTCAACTGTGAATCAGAGCTAAAGATCATGAATAAGGAGTTGAAAACCTCGAGTTCGACGTATTCTTCACTTTTAAAAGAATGTAAAAATGACCAAACAAAAGCATTTTGTTCTATTTCTAATGTACAATCCTCAATCCAGAATAGTGGAAATACCGATATCAATAAAAAGGCTCCTGGTTTTTCTCCTGTCTTTTTAGTAAAAATCTCCTGATAACTTCTGGTTTTTTTGCAACAAACTCCTGGTTTTTGAAATTTGGATTTGGCAACCCAGTAATCAATGCACCAGCCGACCGGGGCACCAGACGATCAGCCGACCAGACTCACTATTATTTTTGCCTGGTTTTCCTTTTTGAAAGTTAAATTGTAGACAAACATTACCGCTTCTCGTAACTTCGGCTGTTTTGGCGCAACAACACCTAACGACAGTATGTTTTTAGACCTATATGTATGTATATATGAATGAATTGCATAACCCTTCCTCTTTCAGGCTGCGTACATATAAGACGCTTATCTTTCTCTTACTAACACATTTATACAGCCCTCGGCTGTATAATATATTTTGCCACGTGGCCAAAGGCTTTACTAGTGTTTTGGCTCAGTACTAACCCAAAATAACTGAGTCCAACAGAAGAAACTCTAGAAATGGTATAATTAATTACTCAACGTCGTAATATTAACGTTGAATCAAATTTAAATGATAATCATGGCGGTACATAGTTACAAAAGTCATATACAGCGCTGGAACCAGGTACTCATGGTCAACTGATAGAAATTTTGGCTCATAATTCTAACTATCAATTGCAACAATGGCAACCAGGGCAATATCCTCAAGTAGTACAGCTTCAACAACAACCTACTTATGAACAGCAACCAGTTTATCAGTAATTTCCAAGTCAAAACCAGGTTCAACAGAGAAGTCCAAGGTTGTTCAAGGGCAATCAAAGTAAAAAATCAAAGACTGGTCATTATTTAAATAATCACGTTTTCATTCATACATCAGCTGATGTATGGGTGAAAACGTGACTATTACAGACTGTACTATTCTAGAATTTTTGGACACTATGATCTAAAGTTT